AGAATTCAAGGAAACTGAGCATTATGAACAAGTTTTTCCATGAGGATGAATATCATATCATTAAGAAGTATATGTTATGAAGTTGAAACTTTGCATATTATTAATACTCTACTTTGCCGAAAGACTATAATTAAAACTAATTTCAAAATTATAGACTATATTTGCCTGAAGCAACCGTTCTTCTGCTAATACTTGCTATTTGCTGGACACTATTCGTGCTATTTATTGCCTTCAACAATACAATATTGCAGCATATTTTTGCAGCAGTGTGCGTTATAAAGGTATGAAAATTCTATATTATCAATAGCTTGTAAAAAAAGTAGCTACCCGCATCTTCCGCTGCAAGAGCAGTTTTGCTTTTAAATAAATTAAAGATCGATTTTTACTACAGTACGAAAATATGGAAATATTTTATTTCATCTAGGCATAATTAATATAAATGTAATTTTTTGATGAAATTGCTGAAAATAGAAAATGTACATTGATTATGACTTAAATAATAATACTCACATACTTCATAAACGTTATATATCACTAGGGACTTTATGTATTTGCATTCTATGGATGTATAAATATAATTTATCACGGTCTTAAAACGGTAAGTGATCCTCTTATCAGCTTAGTAAATCACTGCAGTTTGTATTGTCTGAAGCTTACGGAAAATCTCATAAATAAGGATATAATTGCACTAATATATGAAGCATTTTTATAAATAATTAATTTTAATATCTATTTTATAATATTTTACTAGGTTGTTTGTCAATATTGCGTTAAACATTTTAATTTAAAAAAATCAACAGTAAATAACTTTAAAAAATCGAACATCGAAGATGAATTAATACATTTTATGTCATGGCGATAAAATAGGGAGAAATAAATTGGTGCAAGTCTAGATTACCATACCTTAAGAATGAGAATTCTACAACTCCAAATTTCGAAAGTGAGTACATTTTAGCAAATTTTTTGTTAATGAGTAGCAGCATTTTAATTACTTTATATTTTATCTTATGTATCTGCTGTATACTAACAGTTTTATCAAAATAAGCATTTACAATTTATACTAAGCTAACTTGCTAAGTTAATTTCAAAATATATTTTAAAGTTACATGTTATGCCTGTATAAGCTACGAGCATTATAATTATACATAGACACTAACCAGTAGTTTCGATAACTTTAAATTCGAATGATTGTCATTTACTAAGGATCCTTATAGATTAATTGATAGAAATACTATATAGACAAACAGTATTAAGAATTTAATCTTATCTCTATATGTACACTGCACAGTGCCCAGTATATTCATAAGTGCTTTATTTTCTATTAAAAGCTGCTAAAAAAGAAGATAAAGCTTCTTCTAGCAGTGATCATAGAATTACTAAGGTAAGTTATGATATTATTTATGTAATGTAGTATAAAAATAGCGATGCATAATAAAATGAAATTGTTTCATGGCAGTAAGTAACAAGTTTACCTAATTTTGATAATTTGCTTAACAATAACTGTGCAAAAATTTTAAATATTATTAAGCTATAGCTTACCTATGTATTTTATAGTATGAAAACTTGTATACGAATGGGGAACTGAATCAAGCAAGCTTTTAGAATTCATACTAATTGGATAAGTCCCATATAGCTGTTATATAACCTTTTAGAATTCATACTAATCAGACATGTCCAATACAGCTTTTATAAAGATAGCGCTACATCGAATTATATTCGTTATGTTAGTTATTATTTCGTAAAGACTTTCATTGTAATGCAAAAGCTGCAAATGTCAGGGATTGATTTTCGTTGTAAAATTTATCCTGAGAATTTCTTTACAGTCCGCATACACTAAGTTAGGTAATGGAAGCACACATAGGTTTATAATTGCAATCTAAATGCATATTGTAATGTTATTATACAAACTATCATAGAAATAGATTGGTAAATTCAATAATTTTAATTCTCTCATAAAGTAATCGAGCCTAAATACTTACAGTAAGAAAAGCAAATTACGATTGTGCTGCGGTAAATAGCCTATTCCATTGCACCGTACTAATATTTTTACATGTTATTGTACCAGCAGTTGTAGTATATTACTCATATTTACCTTGCTAGTCGTATTGATTATAATTAAATAATTAGTTTATGATAGATCGTGTGCTGTAGATAAACCATTTCATAAAAACACAATGTATTCTGACAATCTAAAATAAAACATCAGATATCTATGTCTACAAATGGTACTGCGCAAATTAGCTACTATTAGATAGTTTGGTATAAATCCACAGCTTGAATTATGTGGAGGTTAATAATTCTGCCACTTATAACTACTTTATTAGAGTGCAGTATGTAAACTCCACCACCATATTGATTACCGTAGAGAGATTTAGTCAATTAGCACAATTTTGGCCAAAGTAAGAACGTACAGTACACTACTGTAACTGGAGTATTTCTCTCGGCTCGTATTGGTCCGTGGTATTATGCCACCAAGAGACCAGTTATACCATTACAGGTCATACGGTGATGAGGTGATGTTATTGTTTTGAAAAGACGCCCGATTAATTATTTTACGGTACTGTATAAACAGATTAACAGTACATCAGTCATCCTGAATGCTAAAAGTATCCAAGGTTTTTACTGATCAGATACAGACATACAGTCATCAGTCATACAGTCATCCTGAATGCTAAAAGATCAGATATCCTGCAATGATACCAACATGATCGTACATGATCGTTGATCATCTTTCCATCCTTTACCATGATTTGCGATACAAAGTTTATGTAGATTTAAATTACATATTTAAATAAAGCATCTTATTTGCAATAGATTGATACCAAATTTGTCTAATTTGGTGTTGAAATTGTGTTTTTATATAACTTCAATCATCGTAAATTTTTCATGAGACACCCTGGACTCTACAGTTACAGTAAACTGGAGTATTGGCGTAAGCAACATGCGCAATAGCCAGAAAGATACAGTCATAAAGGAAACTGTTGCAGTATTTTGTAGTTTTAAGAATGCTTTGAACGCCAATCATTGGTGTAAGTGTAAGTACGTCAATGATGAAAGAGTACAGTAAAGTGAAACATTGAAGTGTAGCCTGCTCTTTTTAGATTTGATACACAGCACTGTAATGTATGTATAGTATAGCCATACTGGACTACATTACACCAGTTTTTTACTATTTAGCCATACTCTACATCTATTTTATCATCACTAGTACAAACTCCCGTCGCTTTGTTGACGGTTTACGATAATGTTAAAGGCTCCACTGCTGGATAGCGAGGTGCTGCAAATGCAAAATATTGAGCTTGGCAATCATGAATTACAACGCTGTGTAATCTGCGATCCACTGCACTAAGACAACTACAAATTATCCCAGTATATCGTGTATTAGCATATTGTCGAAAACTACTATCGCACAACTATTGTACAATACAATACTTGTATTGTATAATAGCATTGCTTATATTGATGTGAGCTGCATGCCCTAATAAATTAACAATGTCTGATCAAGTCGTAAGAAAAAATAAAGCGGTTAATGTTCACTGTCCAGATCCAACTCAATCGTCATCGTCGTTGCAATTGAATCAATAGATAAACAATTTAACGGAACCGATAATATTCAAGGGAATGATTGAAGAGTGGGCAAGTCGCCAGTGGACACCAAGGTATTTTACTGATCAACTAGGTGATTTGCCTGTGAAGGTTAAAATTGGACCGAACGCAGCTACTATTTCGTCCAATAATCCAATCTTAGAAACCGATTGTTGTTATGAAGTATGCACGATGCAAGAATATAATCAATGGTTGAACAAAGACCCGAATTGTGGCAATTTAAATCAGTACGATCCTGATTTATGTTGGTGTTATGTAGATTATCAGTACATTGCACTTACCTTTCAAGCATATCCAGAAATTCCACAAAGTATTGATTGGAGTAAGTTTGGATTGAATGGACGCAAAGGTGATCAGTCGACTTTCTGGATGGGCAGCAAGGGTGCAAGTACACCTTGTCATTACGATAGTTATGGCTGTAATCTCGTTGCGCAATTATATGGTAGGAAAAAGTGGTTATTGGTAGCTCCTGATGAATCCCAATACATGTATCCTATCAGAGTGCCGTATGAAGAATCATCCATCTTTAGCGCTGTCAACATGAAATCTCCCAACCTTGTGTCGTACCCTAAGTTTGCCAATGTGACGATCTACGAGGTATTAGCTGTGAATGCAATATTGCATAATGAATAGTTTTGATTTGCAATCTCAAAAAAGTCAACGTTGTAGTAATAATAAGTATAAACATTCACTTTTATGAGCAATCTCATAATAATTCTCATTGACTGCACCCCTTGAGACCAGTTGTGATAGTAGAAGTACAAATACAGAATAAGATGAGGGCTGATATACTCGTACCTACATCTACCGTACGAAGAATCATCGATCACGTTATTCGTTCGTTCGGAGATATTACAATAAAAATGCTATGCGGGACATAACTATGAATATGACATTTTAAGAACCAGTAGATCTAGTTAGCTAGACTAGCTATAATATGTAAACTAGTTGGAAATGTTGTTACCAGCGTTCCTATAATCTAGTCGATTTTTTATTCCATCATTCCATGAAGGAAACTATCTCATAATGAAATCACTGCTATTGCAAAACTTTCGTCTCGTGTTCCTATAGGGCGTAACTTTTATCGTCTTAAAAGCTACAGTTTATAAAGTAACATGTTTTATTTATTGAATTTGAAAGATATTGCTTAACTATCTGCAATACTAGAAATCTTATCAAAATGTTGATCTAGAATAACTGCAGATTTGAATTATCTTAGGTGATCTTAGAACCTGGCGACGTCTTATTTGTGCCCAAGTATTGGTGGCATGATGTAGAGTGCTTGGAAACAGCAATTAGTGTTAATACCTGGATCGCTCTAGTGCGTTACATATTTCTACAGAAATCGCATCGTTATATTATTACTATTGATATGGCTATGAAATATAAGAACAATTACCATACGTATTATAAAACTGAAAATATTTTTAATTTATTTACTCGTGATCTACTAGTATCATTATTTCAACAACTACTAACTTTTATTATTCTTAGCCTTCCGACGGTATGGATCGTCTGTGTGAAGCAGTGACAAAAACTGTTGTAAGTAATATATTCTAATGTATTGGAGTACAGTACGGTACGTTTAGATGGGCATATTTTTCTTGCTTTAATCAACCAAGATCGCCTTATTTATTTAATGTTATGGTGCTCAACTACATGATACTAAGATTTAATATAAATAACACAAACTTAGGTATTTGCTTTAAAATCCGCGGAAGGAAATAAAATTACGCAATGGCTGAATCCGTCAGAGGTAAGGAGTAACATAGGCATTATCAGGGAAAAAATTAATTTTCAATTGTTTTCGTAAAATAGTCAAAATTAGTAAGTTCTGTAACAACCTTGTCGTCCGTGGAAAGATGGTATAATTATTGGTATTAAATATTGAACAGTTAGTTTTGTATTAATATTTTGTATTGTACGGTATCGCATGGCACGGTTATCAACGATTTTCCATAGATATTAAGGCTGCAGCATTTGTCCTCTTTTTTCATTTTTGGAAAATGCTTATTTTTAGTGACTCTAAGGATGGTGCACTTTATTCTTATCAAAAGTATTAGTTATACCGAAATTGTCACATACACGTAATGTAATAGAAGATCAAAACCTACTTTCATTTCGTAGGTTCCAACAAGTTACCAGACAAACATTGGTTACCTTAAGAACTCATTGGAACAACTAATGCCAAAATTACATACAGACTTTCCCAATTTGTATAAAGACGATTTATTAGACAGAGTCATTAATTCTTTGCTATCACCGGACCTGATCAAAGTAGCAGCAGAAAGGATTATTTCCTCGTTTACTGCTAGTAACGATTAGGACATGTACTTTTTGAAAGCTCAAGTCATAATCAATCGTATTTAATTGTAAATATAAGTTTTGAACGCTTATTTTAATCAATCGGCACTGTTGTACTGTAACAACATATTATAATACTTTTTCAGATTTTCTGTTCATAATTATACAAATTTACTTTACAATGCTGCATAACTGCAGATGACATTCACTTTGTATGTTTTTAGTAAAAAGTGTGGATGTACAGTAATTATATAACAACAGGTAGGATGTTATGATACCTGTAGGCCTTCTCACTATAAAAATTTGGAGCACTTCTTGAAATAGTTTCTTGATGATGTTGGCTCGTTATTAAAAACCCAAGATTGAACAGTTTTGGAGGCTTCGGTACTTATTCTTGACGTACTAAAATTATAGGTATGAACTTGAAAATCTTTTCACAGCGGTTCACGTTTAGCTGTGATACTATAATTGATATCGATTTAGACTACTCTCTAAATTACGTATTACCTGATTGAAAGATATGGAATTTTTTGACGCTCTTTCTTACTAGTGTGAAAGGAGGTCTAAGTATAAGAGCTCATGGTACTGTTACTGATTCAATCTTGCAAAGGTATACGCTTTAAAATAGTTAGCTGAGTTCGTTCTCCTTTGAGATTAAACTCGCAAACATTAGAATCGCATATTGATATTACCTCATTGAATTCTCAAAATGAGAAATTTGAAGGAGCTGTAAATAATATTATGAATGAAGTAAATGTGTTACTATCTAATTTTATTCACATTGGACTGCGTCCTGCATATATGTTCAGGTCTTTGATTATCGATAAGTATTCAATAAACTACGAATGCGAATAATTAATCGAAATTATTAATGGCTTTCTTTATTGCTTTATTTAATATTTTTCCCTGTAGTATTCCTACGCATTGTAAATATGCAAAATTTAAGTGTAAATATTGCTATTAAGGCAAAACCGATATGTGGCCTAAAGACATCATTATAGGTGAATACTGTAGTTGAACACTTTAATTAACTAAACTGCTAGCGTAGATAACATACCGTTATTGTGCTTTTGTGTCTGATGATAACCATGTATTACATGACAAATCCAACATCAAGATAACTCTACGCTTAATCGATAATAAATGATTAAGGGAGGAACTGGTATAACTGTTTACCGTATTAAATATCAGAGCTTATTAAGATCTAGCCTTGATTGCTAAGCAACATAGCGAATACAGCAAGTATGATGTATCTGCAAAAGTACGCATTTGCATGTGTAAGAAACTCACTCACAATCGGATTTAGTAGCAGGAATGACGATGAGTTGTAACAGTAACTATGCACATATGATAATATATACTAATCATAGCCGTATCTGCGGCTAAATCAGCAAATCCTAGTTGCAAAATACATGTCCATGAGGTATCGCACTTAAGGCAGTTTACCGTTACTTAATCATTACTTCCGCCATAGTCATCGTGCTGCTGCAAATAGTCGTCAAGATAAATCTGTTCTTCATTTTCTTGGTTTTCTTCGATGTTTTCTTGTATTTCAGAATGACGTAATGGCCTGTCTTTTTTCCCATAAAATCCTTCTAATACTCTCTTAGATTCGTAAGCAAACCAGGTATCACCTCTAGTAATTGGTGTCGGTAGGGAAAATCGGGCGCGTGGAGGACTTGTTTGCTTTATATGATCACTCTTACGTCTGGTTTTATCAAAGGGTTGCTCATTTGAGAATTTGGGTGAAATTGTATTCCAAGAAGTTTGTAATATTTCACTGTCCATTTGAGTTCGATCAACTGAATCTCTTGATTGTTCGGGATCTCTTTGACTATTATGCTGATTTAACTTGGAAGAATTGAAATCATATTGTCGGTTTTCTTGATCGATACTAATATCTTTATCAAATGGCAAATCGAACGCTGTATCGGGTAGAGGTACTTTACTTTTTCCTCTTTCATAGGGTGAATGCTGTCTTACTTGCTGAGTTACCTTATTGGTATTGCATTCATGAATTCTACTATCCTGTCGATGAGATATCTTCATTTTGCTATGGCGTTTAAAGTCTTTAACAGTAGGCAAATGTTGCGATGTTGTTTTTTCTTCATTTTTATCTTTTATTTTGCGGCTTAATACCTGTTCAATGTTATTATATTCTGACCCTAGCAAGACAGTAAATAATCTGTAATAGTGGTAAAATAGAACTTATAACAATGAATTGTACTCTTGATGAAGTTATCTACCTGGTAGTTGAAAAACATCCCACTCCGAAACATCATCATCTTCACTATACTGCTTTCGATAGAGCTTAAATTGAGTTGGATAGATTGACTTATCATTACATGGCTTAACATTCCATTCGCCTCGACGTTTTGCAGATCGATTTCGGACATGACTACATTTAAATAGTTATTAAAGTGTTTAAAATTTCGTCAGTAATTTGTGCCAAGTATCTTCAATAATGAAAAATTGATATGAAGCCACCAGCTAAATACATGTACACTATGTCAGCATCAGATATATGGTCTATTAATACGAGATTGCCGAGCAATTATGGGGAATACTTAGCACTAATCTTGAAGTAGTAGTTTCACATTGGAAGATATTTCATGCTGCTATTTTAAATATGTTGATTGTAATATCCATATATTAGAATTAACTGAATTTTAGAGAATTGACCGCAAACTAAGTAACACGGGAAAGTTGATTTTAATGTTGACTGTAGCTATATTCTGATATCCACATTAGGTGGTAATCTGATTGACATCATAAGGTAATCACGTAAATGACTAGCTTCTACGCCTTGATTTCAGAGGATCTTCAACATTAGGATAACACTACAGGTACTACAAGGACAATAGAAACCTGCAATAACATTTTTTAAAACTTACCATTGGTGTATTAAGCACACGACCAAAAGTATGAAATATTACCAGTATGGCTTTAGGATTACGAAAATGATATAAGTTTACTTTTACAAAGCTTACCATTTATGTAGTGAGCACTCAATTAGAAGTATAAGTCCTGCTATCAGAGCCATCAAGATACAGGTACCGAATAAAACGTAGGAAGCGATGATTAAACTGTTGGCTACTAAAATGACGTAAGAATTAATCAATAAAAGTACTGCATCAGTTAGATTGTCAAAGTGTAATTTGCCTCGGCTAGGCAAAATCGTAAATGATCATAATATGTCATAATGTTTAGGCTTTGCCATTCTTACTTTGACATTGTTCGACCGCTACCGATGCTGATGATGATGTAGTTAAACCGTAAGGACATGGCCAACAGTCGGATTGATTTGCATATGGTTGATAAGTACCGACTTGACAAGGCAGGCAAGTTTGATCGGACTGGAGGTAGTACCCAGGAGGACAAATGACTAGTTAAATACATTAAATTTAGACGATAAATAAATTATAGAAATATAATCATGATCATCTGTCAATCCTTCTTTTGCTAAAAAAATTTAGCTATACTTTATCCCTCATATTATCGTTATATCAGTAATAGAATTGAATATCTCAACCACAAAATCTAACATTATTCTTTTCTATTCTAATTATAGAATTCGAATCTATAACTATCATGCATTTTAGTAATGACGTGGTTAACCGATCTCGATATCCATATACTGGTGCATCATTTACACCGTACATGACGAAAGCAAACTCGGCCCCTTAACTTTATTTTGTTGCTTGCGTAGACTTGTACAACATATAAAAAATACATGTAAAATACTCCGCTTGTAAATTTACTGCAGTATATCGCTCATTCTACGAAGTATTATAAAATTATGACTGCTCAGTAAAATCTGGAATTATGTGACCATCGATAAATTAGAAATGGAAATATTTTGAACGATAGCTTTCCATAAATATTAAACATGCATAAAGGAAACTATACCCTTTTCGGTAGCATGGATTATAAATAATTATCAAACAATATAGGGTGCTACTTTGTCATGGCAAATTAGAACTTCCATAAATTGTAATTGCAGTAAGTTCTTAGTTAACATACGGTAAGTATATGTAATAAAATTGGAAGGGATGTTTATCTATTATGAGCTATTTCAAGAGATTCTTGCTCCGTTATAACTAATTATATCAATGCATTAGTCTACCATGCCATTACAGATGAGGTCCAACGTTTGTTAATAAAAACGGACAAGTCTTCAGTCAATACGTATGAAAAAATTGAGTACTCATGAATCTGTTAAAATTTCTTAGTAGTTTAATGGTCTTTATGGTAATCAAGATTTGTATCTAGAGGAAAAGTACTGTAGTAAAGATATTGCGCCACAGCATAAACACTGAAACTGAAACCTTAACTGTGGCAATTGTACAAATTCCAAGTAAAATCAAATTGCGGATAGTGAATATTACTATAATAACTAGATTACGAAGTCTTCTACTACGGCTCCTCTTGATAAGGATAAAGCAATATTCCCAAAACCGATAAAGTTTTAAAATTGTAATAGGATTAAAGTAAATAAGTGAAGAATGATTTAAATCGAAAACATAAAAGAATAATAAAGTAGAGAATAGGCTAATAGATATTGACTTAAAATTTCATTTCAATGTCAGTGCAAAAGCTCTAAGAATCCAAATCAGAGGAAACATGTTTGGAAATCATTTCTAGGAGCACGTTGCTTAATGAAGTAATAATTCTGATGATGATTTAAATTGAAGGTATACTGTAGTTAAAACTGATGATATGGGAAACGATAAAGAGGAGAATGTGATTGATGATTATTTTATTTTAAGCATTTGCTTCAAATACTGTAAGCTACACTTTCAAATCATAATTGATGAACTTCTTGAAACGCGTTTTAATCGCCATTATTTAATTAACTGAGTAACCTCCATAATAATGATATTAAAATTATAACTTAAAATTATATCCTTCATTCAAAATACAGGAATAAATAATAAAGCTGAGAGTTAATCCACGAATAATTTGATTTGAAACAGTAAATTTAAATTCAAATTCTAGAAAGCAATTTAAAAATAATTTCAAAGGTCTATTATTTGACGGAGTACTTCCAGCTCGGGAATAATTCAATTGGATGCATGAGTTTAATTGAATAAAATAACGTATAAATGACGTAGGATCGAATTAACAAATGTTTTATCTAAAGATTAATTTCAAATGCTCTTATTGGAATACAGTGAGACCCGTATCGCTTCAATGAATCATTGATCAAAAGATTGTTAGCTCTAAAGCGTAACTCAATGTTAAATTAAGAATACGGAAAAAAGAAATAGTAAAGAATTTATTCTTCCTTAAATATTACTTCTAAACGCCTTAGTTAAGGAAGTACGTTTAAAACCCACATCAGAGAAAAACAAATAAAAATCGTTTCCAGGGCCTACACTTATGAAAATAATTGAGCTAGTTTTACCGAAAGATGATCCAGAAACTGTCTGTCCTGTATTTTCCATCATCTACCTGTTAAAGGATAATAATTGCATTTCTGATTGGAATGTCTTACTTGCTTGCGCTATTACTAATCTCGTAGTTGCTTTCAAGATCAGCACAATCACGTCAGCTAGATTTTACTTGAAAGAAATAGCTTCAATAGATCCTTAACGATGTCAATATGTAATAAAACAATAAGCCCACTAAATATAGATTCCGAATTTAGTTAATTAAAGACGTAAATAGCTTTAAATGGGTACTTCAAACTCAAACAGTTATCGCTACATTACAGGATATTGAGTAGTACAATAATAAAATGGAGCTTGAATTAGTAAAGATCGTGATCAAAATACCATTCCTATTAGCAAGTTTCAAGGATATTAAATGTAACGCGGAAATGTATTAAGTACTATACTGTTGAGAAGAAATGGATTGCTTTAATGTCAGTTGGAAGTAAGATTCTCGATTGTAATAAATTGAAAATTTTAAACCAGTTATAGTATTAATTAAATTTCAGTGGTTTTGGCATCAAAGGCTGTAATTATCTTGGAAGTCTATATAGTAAGATAATCGAGTTATAAATTTTCTTTTAATGTATTGCTTTGTACAGAATACGCTCATGTTCACTTGAATAGGTGGCTTATTAGTATAAATTAAAGGCGATCTTTAACCATGGCGTATGCGATATTGTACTATTATTGATCGACTTTGAGTAATGAAAGCGATCAAGTTGAGGGTTGGTTCTAACTCAATCCTCCATTTTACGATACTATACACTTTGGAGCATGAAATTTTGCAAATACTATTCATTTTAGATGGTCTATAGATTTGACATCCTGAGCCAGACATGGCAATAGTATCCTAGTTAGCCTGAATTTATATTTGGAGGGTATTATCCTTTGCATCACTTTATTTACTGAATGGTAAAATAGTAGATTTTATTTCATAAGTATAAAGCCTTTCTCGGATAAAAACTAAGAAATGTAATTTTAAAAGGCGACTTACGCGAAGACAAATGAATTAAACGTATAGTACTATATTTATAACCGAAATAATCGTATTAATCAGTCGCTAGAGTAACTGCGTACTACAAGATTACTTTAATCCAAAATTTCGATGATTTTCCTTATAACTATAAAGTTTAATCTAAAGGATATTTATGTGAAGGAAGTGGAATGCTTGTAATCTATATTTTAGATTGATTCTTGAGAGACTATAGCATATTATAACATCATGTTCCAGTGAGAAAATTCGGAGTCTTTATCCTCTTCAACTATACGGTATTATATTGATAGGCGATTAGTCATATTAATCAGTTACTGGAGTGACTAGGCACTACTAGATAGCTTTAATTCAAAGTTTCGGTGGTTTTCCATATAATGTAAAGTGTAATCTAAAGGGCACTTTGTAAACAAGGCAGAATGCATGTAACCTATGTTTTAGTTAAGTTTCTAGAGAGACTTCGGCGTATTGTAACGTGATGCTCCAGTGAGCTAATTTTTGATGATTATCCCCTACAAATTTTGGCATGGAATTTAAAGGTGATCTATAGATGACAAGATGAGTTGAAATATTCTTGTCACATTTATGACAACTGTAAGTTACTAATAGGCAGTTGCTTGGAATAGTTGCTAAAATTTGAGCGATACGGAGATCATTTCTATCCATACTGTGGAGTGTTAAGTATCAGTAGTTTTATCACTGACTCAGCAGCATGTTTTTCCACGTCGTATTGATATTAATACTTAAAAAATTTCTAAAAAACTGTAGAGATAACTTATTGCACTATGTCACTTTAGCTTACGTAACCCACTAAAGCTTAAATTAAAAAAATATCTTTTTATCGAGTGACCATACCGAGCACAGTTTCAAGTTATTGTAACTATCATAATAGCGCAAGATTGTCAGGCGTGCCTATACTGCTGTAATAAAATTATATTACTGTAGTACCATAAATAACGTACATAGTTCATCCACATAGTACTCTTGTTATATCAAATCTGGAAAGGTATAAATAGTCGTATTTTACTAGAATAAAATGAAGAAAATGGTGAATTAGTATTTTTAGGATAAGCAGCTATTAAGTTATCAAGATCGTAACCATATTGTTTGGTGACTTAAAGACTTTGATTAAGAAAGAATAGAATGATTTCTTCCATTAAAATAGCGGTTTAAAGATTTTTTTAAAGGGTTTTCAATAGCTGGTTACGATCTATTTACGATATTGATTTTACTTATTACAGCGGCGATCGTAAGGAATCATAAAAATACATTCATTTACAAGATCGAACATGCTATCGTGCCGCAGATTACAGTACTAAAATTATGGCGATTTAAGTAGCGCATCTTTAAAGAAGAAGATGACATCTTTTATTTTTTAAGCACATCAGGGAGTGTGATCCATTCTGAATTAAGATATTACTGATGATAGTAGGGTGTAAGGATCCAGGGGGTGGAATGTTACTTCGCATTGTCTTTCATTAGCCTCTAATTAATTAAACCTCTTCTGCACTATAATATGATACGGTAGCATCTGAAATATGTAGAGTCGAACATTAAAGCTAATACATTTAAAATATGGACGCTTTTGTGATCACCTTTACCGTTTAATAATACATAGCTTAGCCTGCAGTTATCATATTGTTTTGATTGGATTCACCTATGCAGCATGCTAAGACAATTTATATCAAAAATACTGCAGTCAATTTTAGTCGATTATCATTACTTTAGATCTATAATTAATAGTGAAGTACTGTTACTATGCAGTATAGGAGATCTTAATCCAGATTTGTAGGCACTGGTTATCGTAGAAAATTCAAAGACCATGTATTAAAAATCATGTTGAGTAAACCCTGAAATTTACTGTAACTTCTTAATTATATTTAAGCGAAGAAAATCGTATCATAACCACCGCTTTGAATATAATTAATATTCCTGTATGTTTCATATTCTGAGTCTTCGTATTGTATTCTTCATCTTTATATTCTAACCTTAATATTTCATCTAAACTATTGCAATTTGGAGCTGCTGTTATAATTTTCTTAATGACATCTGTTTAATTCTTGGTCAAGAATTACAGAAAAAAACTCTTTTCTGATTTCCCATTAATAAAATCAATTTTTATTGCATTTTGGATGAAGATATTGATAGTTCAAAATCATTACTTGCAATAGCATGCTCTGAAACACTTCGTTCATAATCTTCTCTTTAACAGACCTTCTAAATCATTCTGAGTTGTAGCAATATCCAAAATCGTTGCTACTAAGTTAGAACAGCCGGCATCCATTAAAAGATTAAGTAGCTGTAATGTTGTTCGTTTATAACAATCTACCTTTACATTATTACTTATCAGTAAATCTATGATCTTAATAAAAGCTGCTTCATGCTGCTCAAAATTCTCTTTTATAAAACTATCAAAAGATAGGTTAATTTCTTGGCTTTCAGAATCAGAAGATTTACTGTCAACAGGTGTTTTTATGATGCGTAAAATGCTTTGATGTCGCTGGTTAATCTGCAGTCGTTTGAATCTAAGCATTATATCCTTGAGTATCTTTAGGAATTTCCTAAAAAGCACATCTAACCAATTCTCTCCGTAACTATCTGTAATTTTTAAAAATTTGTCTATAGATTTTTGATATAATTTCTGTATTTCTTCCTCCTGCGCTATAGTGGCTTCGAGTTCTATACATTTTTGCGGTCCTATTGCAGTTATCAGCTCTTCTAGTATTTTTATGTTACTAGATTCAGCAGCGTAATGCAAAGCTGTTTTGCCATCATTATCTTGTATTTGAAGCAAATTACTAACTGCTTGCTGTTGTGATCCAGCTAACTTTCTTTGATCTATCCTTAGCCCTTGCATACATTCTTTTTCTCCATTTCTTGTTCTTCTTATTTTCTGTATTTCTTCCTCCTGCGCTATAGTGTCTTCGAGTTCTATACATTTTTGCGGCCTTATTGCAGTTATCAGCTCTTCTACTATTTTTGTGTTACTAGATTTAGCAGCGTAATGCAAAGCTGTTTTGCCATCATTATCTTGTATTTGAAGCAAATTACTAACTGCTTGCTGCTGTGATTCAGCTAACTTTCTTTGATCTATCCTTAGCCCTTGCATACATTCTTTTTCTCCATTTCTTGTTCCTCTTATTTTCTGTATTTCTTCCTCCTGCGCTATAGTGTCTTCGAGTTCTATACATTTTTGCGGCCTTATTGCAGTTATCAGCTCTTCTAGTATTTTTGTGTTACTAGATTCAGTAGCGTAATGCAAAGCTGTTTTGCCATCATTATCTTGTATTTGAAGCAAATTACTAACAGCCTGCTGTTGCGATTCAGCTAACTTTCTTTGATCTATCCTTAGCCCTTGCATACATTCTTTTTCTCCATTTCTTGTTCCTCTTATTTTCTGTATTTCTTCCTCCTGCGCTATAGTGTCTTCGAGTTCTATACATTTTTGCGGCCTTATAGCGGTTATCAGCTCTTCTAGTATTTTTGTGTTACTAGATTCAGCAGCGTAATGCAAAGCTGTTTTGCCATCATTATCTTGTATTTGAAGCAAATTACTAACAGCCTGCTGCTGCGATTCAGCTAACTTTCTTTGATCTATCCTTAGCCCTTGCATACATTCTTTTTCTCCATTTCTTGTTCCTCTTATTTTCTGTATTTCTTCCTCCTGCGCTATAGTGTCTTCGAGTTCCATACATTTTTGCGGCCTTATAGCGGTTATCAGCTCTTCTAGTATTTTTGTGTTACTAGATTCAGCAGCGTAATGCAAAGCTGTTTTGCCATCATTATCTCGTATTTGAAGGAAATTACTAACTGCCTGCTGCTGCGATTCAGCTAACTTTCTTTGATTTACCCTTAGCCCTTGCATATGTTCTTTTTCTCCATTTCTTGTTCCTCTTATTTTCTGTATTTCTTCCTCCTGCGCTATAGTGTCTTCGAGTTCTATACATTTTTGCGGCCTTATTGCGGTTATCAGCTCTTCTACTATTTTTGTGTAACTAGATTCAGCAGCGTAATGCAAAGCTGTTTTGCCATCATCATTTTGTATAAGAAGGAAATTACTAACTGCCTGCTGCTGTGATTCAACTAACCTTCTTTGATCTATCCATGGCCCTGGAATATATTCTTTTTCTCTATTTCTTATTCCTTTTAACAACTCGCCAACTATTTCTACATTCTTTCTAGCAACATAGTGCAAAGCTGTGTTGTCATCTCTATCTTTCATAAGTATTCTTGCTCCTCTATCTATCAACGTTTTAACTATTTTCACATAGGCACTCTCGGATGCGTAATGCAAAGCCGTTTTGCCTCTACAGGCTCGAAAATTCACTGGAGCACCATATTTTAACATCAGTTCAACAATCTCCTCATTACCTCTTTCTACAGCATGGTGTAGAGCTAATTTTCTGCAATCGCTTTTAGCGTTTAGAATAAATTTTAAATCATCATAATTTTCTGCAGCTTCTAAAATTTTCCGAACCATTATCATATTATTTTCTTGAGCAAAAAAAATAAAAAATTCTTGTGTTTTGCTGTCTTTAAAATCTATTTCTGCACCACTATTAATAAGAAATTCAACTAATTCTGCACGTACGATTTCAAAGTCATCATCAAAACCGCCGTTCGGGTATAATTCTATATTATATAAGGGGGCATTACCATTATTTTGTTTAATATTTACCTCAGCTCCATTATCTACAAGTAGTTTAGCTATATCATATTGTCCTTGCTTAGCTGCATAAAGTAAAGGAGTTGTGCCATCGTCATTACTAATATTTGCATCCGCTCCGTTTTCTATAAGTAGCCTGGCTATATTAAAATTGCTTCGTGAAACCGCAATAGACAAAAGTGTAGAACGAAATTCAGGTGAATCAAAAATGAAGAATAAATCTAAAGAAATATTGAAATTATCTTGAGATTTAATATTTGTATCTGCACCATATTTTGTAAGCAGTTTAACTATTTCTTCGTTTTCACTTATTACTGCATAACATAAAGCTGAATGATGATCATGATCTTGTATATTTACCAAAGCTGAATAAATATCATGATCTTGATTATCTACCATAGTGGCATGTTCTAAAATTAGGTTAACAATATCTTCATTTTCCTCTATAGTAGCGTGATGCAAAAGAGTTTTTCCATCATTATCTTGAGCTTTTAGTAAGTGTAATAAATATCCTTGATTTTTTAAATGTGTTATATGTTCTTGATTTTCGCAGACTAAAGAATCATCTTCTGAGTTTGTAATTTTATCCTGATCCTGATAGGCAGCCTGAATATCTCGATTCACGGATTCAGTATAGCTTCCATTTTCATCTTGAAGCAATGTGGAAGCTTTTGTTTCTTTCTGAAGCAATCTGGCGGCTCTTAGTTTTTTTATCCTTGCAGTTTCTTCTCTACTTCTCCGAGCCATTTGTGCTAGATTATCCAACAATCTTGGATTCTGTATAGCTTGTAAAATGGTTTCCAAGATGGCTAAATTATTTTTTTTAGCAAGCTTAGCCATAAAAGTCATATGCGAGTGTTCTTCAACCGTTGTAGTGATTGTACTAATGACAAATGGATCATATTGAATTCTTAAGAAAAAATTTTTGTCACCATTCTTTACTGCTTGTCTCAAGACTTCAGCAAGTTTTTTCGCACTTGAATATTTTAAGCTTTTTGGCCCCGCTTGAGTTGAATTGCTTGACTGCGATAGTCTTCTTGTATCCATTTTAATTTACCTCTATATACAACCATACTTGACTCGGTTATAAGTACTTTAACTTTTATAGCTATATTTGCGCTTTAAACTAGAAAAAAGTATGCACCCTCATGGACTACTATCTTGATGTATCTGAAGATAGATATACATAACCAGGGACTTCATGAATTCATAATAAATTATCAAGTTGCACAGTACTGTCTAATACAGCATAGTGTTAGCTTTCGGTAAAGGTTAAACTCAAGCAGACTCTCTCGACGCATATATAGGAAAGCAACAACTACGCCTATTTACAGTCTAGGCTTGATTAGAGGTCGTAAACAAACATGACAAATCTAGTAATTAAGCTTTAATCATAGAATATCTTAAAAGGAGCATAAAAAAATCTGATCTTGAGTCGCTTGTTGCAATGGCAAAACAGAAGTACACAATTTGAAGATAGCCTTACGCGCTTGCGTAAAGAAATAACAGCAAAGATTCCTCATCAGACTTAAAGCTATGCATATGATTAACCAATATTATATAACATAACATATAACTATTATCCTTGTCATACAAGATTATCAGATATGACTATGCTACTGTAATAAAGTTACCAAATCAACATAAATACGTAGTTTTTCAACAAAATACTTTGTTATATCAAATCTGAAAAGGCATAAATAGGTGATGTTTGGTAAATTGTAAAGAAGATGGTGAATTAGTTATTCTTAGTAGAAGCGGCTATTAAGTTATGGAAATGGTAACCATACTATTTAGTGACGTAAGACTTTAATTAAGGAAGAAGGCAATAGTTTCTTCCATTTAAATTGTGACGAAACGATTATTTATTATGAATTTTTCAAGAGCTAGTGATGATCTGTTTACGATCTTGACTTTACATCTTACAATGGCGATCGTGATAATTAATCTTGTATCGCCGGAGAACGATACTGATGGATACTGTTTGGCTCGGATTTATATGAAAGAATAATCGGATAGCTTTAGCTTAGGGAATAAAAAGTTTACTACATATCGCAACAGCTACTATTTACAGTACTTTTTTATGTCGACCTGTAATTAAAGTGTATAACTGTCTTAGTCAATGCTAGTTTTAAAAGGCTTTCATCGCAAGGTTTTAGGAATAGTAGAGCAATAATTGATTACTACAAGAATCTAGTCTAAAATATAAAGTATTTCAAGCTCAGAGTGAAGTGAAGTCTCTTCTCCCTAGTGAGCTCATCTCTGCAGTTCTTAAATGTATTTCGCTAAATACATTTACGACAACTTGATTAGTCTACAATCAGACATAAATCATCAAATGAAATAATTTTTCTCAAATAGAACCTCATCAGTACAAACTCCCGTCACTATGCTGACGGATTACATTGTTATAATATTAAAAACTCCCGTCACTTTGCTAACGCATTATGCTTTTATAATATTATACTTCTAGAATATTGTTTTACAATAATACTTCAAACGTGACTCGGCCTTGCGTTGCTATGCAAACGGATTACGTTGTTATAATTATACAATCTCCCGTTGCTTTGCTAACGGATTATGTTCTTATAATATTATACTTCTAGAATATTATTTTACGATAATACTAATATTAGTTATCAACAATTTCGAATAGAGTAGTTATCAATCATCTAATATTAGCTTCACGAAAATATGTATTCTTAGTAACTTAACTATATCAAATATAGCTATCAATACAATCAAATATAGCAATCCACATAATCAAATATGGGGTGCATCGCTACACGACTAAACCACAAGGAATCGCAAAAATAGATTCATATATAAAATCTAACACAATTACGTTGTACAAGATGACTAAAATTATGGTGATTTAATCAGTCCTTGATCAAAAAGATGACATCTTTTATTTTATGGACGGCGAAAAGTCTTATCAATTGTGAATTACGGTGCTATGCCGAACATAGCCGGGTATAGGGATCTAGGCGACGAATGTTACTTTGTACTATCTTTCATTAGTCTCCGATTAATTACCAGCATTAAGGGTTTTATTTCGATTATGTTTCTAACTAGACAACCTATTAATTAAAAAACTACAGTAAATTCGAGTACTTAAAAACACTAATTAAAATCTACTGTACTGCGTGATAGTTAATCATGGACTTAATATCGAATATAATCAACTAAAGTTTGGCGAAGAATAGTTACTGTAGAATAATAAAACTACATTATCACTGCTTAACAAGCTTTATATTTTCATTGCAAATTCACCGCAATATTTTTGATATTAATTATGCTAATTTACTACGCAGCTGAATCGGATCAAAACCACATGATAGTATGATAGCTGCGGGATATGCTACCCGCTATTGTTAGATTGTAAAATTTATTACAAAAGCGTAGGGTCGTTAATTGTAGTAGCCTTATAATAAATGTTAGACTATAGGCATTTTAGATGCTGTCATAGCGAGATTCTAGACAATTTATTTCAGTAAGTGTCCAGCAGCACTTTTAAAACAGACAAAATTCGTAAAATCTACGCATAACGATCGGTAAACCTACGATCCTGATGTACTGATTTAGAAAAATCATTTAAACGATTTCTCGATATTTCATAAAATTGAATACGAAGTGAAATTTTTAGGTATGTTAAAAGCTATAGATGACAATCTTGTAGGTGCATAGCATAAGAACTTTACAGTCAACCAGAGATAGTACTAACGAGGATACAGTATATGTTCATCATTTCTTCTGTTGCATGCAATTTTACTTGAATTTTATCAAATACAATAAAATACACGTAAGCTTAATGTAAATTATGCTACTTTTCTTAAGTGCTTTATCAAATTAGTATTTCAGAGTTGTAATGCCAAACATGTAGCCACAACAAGGCTTAGTCCCTGGTATTAACAGTCTACGTTATCAAATTTATCTAAGCTTTCTAAGGGCATGAGCATTATTTTATACTAGTAGGTACTTAAATTTAAGTACCTTTATTTAGTCATTAAGTTTTAAGATTTTATCCTTACAAGTAGCATTGTAATACTCGAGCACACTTAATAATTATTTAGTAATCGGTTAACGAGATGTGAAACCTTGCATACCGATTGCTAACGACCTTATCAACAGGTAGTAAATATAATCGTTCATGTAGCGTATGTTGTACTTTCTAAACTTAGAAGATATGCAACCAATTCCTTATTTCAATAGTCGTCCTTCTACAATCGATAAATCTTCTTTATTGAACTGGCTGATGTTGAAAACGCTAATTCAAAATCTATGTTATCCACATCTTGGATTACATCTATTGCTATAATATCGAAAATTCTCACTTTTTTATGCTGATAGTTGTCTTTTGCTTTGTTATGTAATAGATTTTGCAGTCTTTGTACCTACAGTACAGAAACAATATGATGGCGCCGCTGTTAAGATGGCTGGTCATGCTGTATTTAGTGGGCTTATCTTTGCAAGAAGGTCAGTAAGGATCGATTTGATATAGAATGAAATGTGATATAGCTTTTATTCGAGAGTTCAAATATAATTATTTGTCAACTTTTGCCTTTGTTAGGCAGGCATCGCAACTAAATAGTTAAGATATTATATTAGCTATAGACAAAAAATAAAATTATTTATTCTTGAAATAATTATGTCATCGTACAAAAAATGTATGTTAACATCGTACTGAAATCCTTAATTATCGTCTAGGCCCAAAATTCTTTAATTTCAATCCTTTGAGAACCATGATACCATACTATACTCTAGACCCTCATCATGCAAAGCACTGATTTAAAGATGGCCAATGGAAAAGTTAATACATAATCAATTCCATTTACCGTATTTGCTTATGGAGTACACATTAATTAATGATATGGCCTGCAAATAAATTTATTTTTAGAATACGAGCTTATTTATAATATCTTATCTATGCTTTACTATGGCACGACTCAACAACTGAGAATTGATATTTGTTCTGTACGTATTTAGTGTCAAATAGATTGAATGCATTCCCATCTTCATACCATATATAGATAGATATAGTATATTGCGTAAGAGATTTCCAATAATTTTTTTTCCGGCGAAATAGTTTACTGATAAGTTTGTGTTCGGTTGGGTATAAAATTTCAGTATCGCAACTGCAATTTTCCTTCTAATGATGCATCCGCTACCTTTTCATTACGATCTTGTTTATCACTATAGTAGTAAATACGATACCTCACACAGTTGATTTTAGCCGTGCTATGCTGTTCTCGAGGGATATTGGGCCTTCTTATTTGGAACGTTGAAGGAATATTGCATGCGGTATAGTGAATTGTAATGTAAGTATACGCGTATCCCACCCACCCTTTGGACGAGCAGCGCGGGGGTATTTATACTACTGTTAGATGACTTTGATTATGGGTTCATTTCAATAGGTCAGTATAAGATTCTTACAGTACTTTTTACCTCAAGATTTCTTCATGTAAAACGAATAGCTCTAAGGTAGTCATTTCTGCAAAGTACTGATTTTTAAAATAGTATTCGTTATATCGTTAAGGGTGGCCACTGGGCCTTTCAATTTTGATTTGATGTAATACGCTGATAAAAATTGAATAAACATAGAATCTTTACAGAGTTTTCTACACAGCCATTTTGATTGTTACTTTTTCTTATAACGGTTGTTATCGACAGAGTAAGCTTTGCTTGCATACGCAAGCGATCCTTAGACACATTATAATGATTGGTATAGAATTGACCACAGTACTAAGGACATGGTACCGCACTGTAGATATCTTACAGTACCTGCTAATCTTAACTTGGTATGTCCATCACAGTACATTAGTTATCATAATGAGCTTTGTACCATTAACTAATCTTAATATAGTATTTCATAACATTTCCTCCGTCCATGTATTATTGAAAAGTAGTATTCTAGAAGCATAGCTGTGAATATAGTAGTGCCTGGCTATTACCGGGATATATGTAATGTCGAATGGTAATACTATCTGTTAATTATGAACAAATAAGTACTGTACATTATCGTAAACCGTCAGCAAAGCGACGTGAGTTTGTACTAGTGTTACTTAATTCTTCACGGTCGCTCGTACAGTGACATGTAGTATTTTAGTATCGTATATCGTGTATATAGTTTATGATATTACCAAGAGTTATATTAATACATACAATACTTAATTACATCAACTTGTTTAGCTATGCTGTAACTGATAATGTCTTTGCGATAGAGTATATTATTGTTTATATAAATATTTATGTAATATTATAACGACAAATTTGTTAAATTTAAATATAATAGAGATAGTACTCGTGATAAGATTACAATGTACTGTGTAGTAATTAATTAACTGAGATATCTATGTTATTATGTTTACTAGATTCGAAAGTTGAGAAAAGTTCGGGACGAGAGTTTTTTGTGGGTTTTCTAAGAATGAATTCCGTCCAACCACAATATATCACCATAACAAGTTATAATAAGCCAGCTGTTGTCAATGTTACAAATAAGTTTGTTAATACAGTTGACGAATACACCATTGCATCTTATGAATCAAAAACACTAACATTCGCAAATACTATGAACCTTTATATAACTGAATTGACTTCTAAAATCGTGCATATCGTCTCAGATGAAGATATAACAGTCAATAGTTTTTATATATATCATTCTGCATTGGCTTCAACATTAGTTTTACCGAGTCATCTATACGATAAGGATTATGTTGTCGCTGCGTATGATCGATACGCTTTCATCAAACTATTAATAATCGCTAAGTACGCCGACACACATCTTAATATCAGTTTCCCAGTGAGTACTTACTATTCTGGTGAATATTATTCAAGAAGTAAAAATTTGTCTATTACTTTACAATCTTCGCAAGGATTTCATTTAAAAACGAACAAACAGATACCTGGCGCTATTGTCTATTCCGATAAAGATGTTGGAGTTTTGGCTGGTAATGAATGTGCATTTATACCTAGTAGTACGGGTAGATGTGATAGTACACAAGAATTTCATTTACCTATTACGCGTCTTGGTAAAAATTATATTATATCGACGTTCGCTGATAGAACAGCTGGTGATATATATCGTGTTTTCGGTGGTCATAATAATACGACAGTAAGTGTTAAAGTAACATCTCAAAATTATCAACTGTCTCGAGGAGATTTTGTAGAATTTGAATTAAACAGCGGTAATAGTTCGTATGTTACATGCGATAAGCCATGCTTAGTTACTCAATTCGCGAAAGGAAGCCGAGTAGATAATACTAAAAGCGATCCATTCATGACATTTGTACCAGCAATAGAACAATATAGTCGAGATTACAATACATTTTTGCCGTCTCTTCTTACAAATGTACGAACTGATCGAAATTATGCGTTGATTACTATACAAGACAAATATAAGAACGGATTGATGCTAAACGGAGTAATACTACAAGATATTACCTGGCGACAAATCCTTACAAATACTGTTAACGAAACTTATGTTACTGCATCTGTTCCTGTTACAATTGGCGGAATAAGAATAACTCATAACGATTCTAACGCATTATACGGATTAATTAACTACGGCTGGAGTCAAAATTACGCGGGATACGGTCACTTAGGCGGTATACGAATTGTTAAAATCTATCCATGTAAGTTACTATTATACAATAGAAGTATTTAAGTGTTATAATAACATTGTAATTTTAGAATACAATTTCATTATTCTCCACGAGAAATGATTCAAATTTGTACTTGACGATAACATATTGTAGCATAATTAATTACAGAAAGAGAATCATATACAAATTTATAGAAACAAATGATTGCCTTATTGTTGTTAATCGATATCTACTATGCACATATCATATTAATTTGGGTATAATTTTAAATTTTGACGGACTATAGATGCGCCGCGAATCATTGAAAAATCCTCAAACATATATGTGTATGAAGGTAACATGACGGTATTAGAGTGTAACGCGACAAGCTCGCCGATATCTACTATTACTTGGTTAAAAGATGGAATCCCTGTTATAAATTATGAGAATACGACAATAGTCGAAGGTTTCTATATTTATAGTCGTTTAGTTATTACAGAAACGTTTATACACGATATGGGGAATTATCAATGCGAATACGTTAACACAGTTGGATCAATAAGAAGTAATAACACATCGATAAAAGTAATCGGTGAGTCTATAATTGATGTATGTGAATAAAATAAATTAAATATCACACTATGATATTTTTTAATATACTTATATCGATGAAATTAGAATAAATTTATTACTATTTAGTTTACTCGAGTTGAACTTAGATCGAATGCTTAATGTATGAATTAATTTAGCTCTGCATAAAATAATTATATTTAGGACTACTGGTGTAATATTAAACTATAATCATTCGCAGGTTCATTTACTTATTATAAAATCGAGTGATTTCTCGCTTATCAGACGCTTAAGTCGTTATTGATATCATACTTATATAATCTTTCCTTTAGAGACCGAAATATTTCATAACTTAAAGAGTAGTTTTCTTGTTATATAATAACCTAGCCTCAGTATTTAACTACTATTCTAATTTTTAGATATTAATTTATACGAGAAAAGTATTTGAAGACAGTATAAATTAAGATAGGAAAGAAATATTGTAGTGAAATC